TTTACACATTTCAAGTGTTTTAAAAGTGCTATGGTGTCAACCATATTTATCAAATGTGTGACGACTTTTGCAGTAAACTTACTGAACATGTTTATCTTTTAGGTAATAATAATAACAATAATAGTAAGTAATTATTATAAATCCATATAGTTAATTTTATAATAATTACTTATTAGAATAAATTATTATGATACCTACCTATTATCTAATTACAATATTTCTTGCGAGATCAGGATAATGTATTCGTGTCCATTCTGAGTACCCGGAAACTTATTTTATTCTTTGAAACATGTACTCTGTGGCGGCAATCAAACATTGTCAAATGTAGTGCGTGTGGCGCGGCGGCGACGATTATGCGATATCAATAGTAGCCGCCGGCACGTGTATCTTGACCTTGTACTTCCGAATAGCTGCACAATTTCTTTGACAGGTCAGTATGCGACCTTTGATGACGCCGACGACAAGACGCCGCGCACTATCAATGGATATTTACTTTTAATGGATATTTTCATTCGCTATGTATATTTATGGTATTGTTCGTAATGCGCATAAGTCCAATTTTCCAATTTTTTTTCATTATATTTTTTGTGTTTCATAGAGTCCCTAAGCGTATACCCGAACTCCTATACTCCCTGAAACGACACTTAGTCCTAACTGCAAGACGCAAGAGTCTCACAACCTAAGTCTTGTTCTTGCGCAAATCTTGCACGGTCAGTCTTGGTCTTGGTCTTGCTAAAAAGAGGCGGTCTTGTTCTTGGTCTTGGTCTTGCAAAAATGCAAGAACAAGACCAAGACTGCAAGACCAAGACCGATTTTGGGCAACACTACTTATGTGTTTTGAAAAACTCATGCGGATGTGGAACATGACTATGGTTTGGGAATTCCCGACAATTTCAAAGTCCCGGGACACGGGACAGCCTATAATCAAAGTCCCGGGAATTCCCGAGACTTCGAGACTTTTAAGAAAAACCTTTTTGTTTTTTTGAAGATGGGTAAGCCTTTTTTGAAGAATTTTAGTTGAGTTAATTTCTGGTGAAACGTATTAAAAACAGGCAATTTTTTGTAAAAATCAACATTTATAAACAATTAAACAGAAAATTAAATAACTTTCATTTTAGTTTATTTTTTTGTTTATTTTTTCACAGATGCACCTCTAAACAGTTAAATCTTATAGTTATGAAACGAACTTAGTTAAAAATCATACTAATTCTTAATAACTTTACTATTATCTAGTAATTCTTATCATTGTTAATTTATTACAACCATCATTTTTAAATGCTAATGATTGTTCATACTCTCATTGTTAATTCTCATAAGCACAAATTTGCTTAATTTATTGTGTTGCGGACTCAGTAGTTACGTAGTAGACCAAGTAATTATTCATTAAACTAACACATGGCGCTAGGCTCCTTCAATTATTTGAAAATAAAAATGATTACATAACAATTTCGACAATCTTGTCTCTTGTTCGTCTCGAGTCTCGACCCGAAAGTCCCGGGACTCGAGACAACTAAAATTACGAAAAGTCCCGGGACTTCGAGACACGAGACGTCCCGGGACCCAAACCCTAAACATGACTCCCAGATATTTGGCCGAGCCTTCCCAAGGGATGGGGCGGCCGTATAAATAAATTGCATTTATTCTGGTTTTTGGCCCACAATTCTTGCGGTGTGGTTTTGGACTCCGTTGAAAGTATATTCACTTCAATTCTCCATTTTCGGAACCATTCGCCTAAGCGATTGGTAGCTTTTTGAAGTTTTAAAGTGAGACTATTCCTATTATAATCTGATACAAAGAGTGCCGTATCGTCTTCGAAGAAAGCAGTGTTTACCACTGGGTCCTTAGGGATATCACTTGTGAAGAGTGTGAAGAGGAGTGGTGACAGGACAGAGCCATAATATGGGACCCCGGTCTTTAGAAAACGTTTCGTGGAACGGGTTCTCTCTACTCCATATGTGAAAAGAGTGATTCGGATGATGTGTACGAGCCTAGCCGGCAAGTTTAGTTTATACAGCTTGTAAAACCGCCTTGCCAGAGCTTATTAAATGGCTTTATTACATCGAAGACAGCTTCCAAAAGGCTTCTTGGGACGGTTCTATTCCTTTTAAGAGGTTTTCGCATTTATCATTTCTAAATTCGGTTATGTATTGTTTAATCTAGTTTTGGAGAACCTCAGCCGAATTTTGTTATCTTGCGTGCGATAACGGTCATAAGATTTTGGCGCGATGTTCTTCGCTGTAATCAATTGTCGAATATCTGCCGGAAGCTTCGTGTACCGATCACTCGACACTGGAACCTTACAGGAGCATTCTTAAACCACTGAAGTGAGGTGAGTCGATAGAGCAACAATCGCCCTATTGGCTTCTTCCGGCGAGTCTATCTTGTCCGGTATGGTGCCTAAATGCTGAGAATTCGGAGACTATAAACGCGTCATAGTTGTGACGACGTCAAAACAGTGATATTTAACCTGTTATATGTACAATTATCAGGATTATAACTCTTATTAACACCGAAGCCACTCAGAGAATACTGTAGTTGAAGACAATTTTACTTACTAAATATAAGCACGATTAAACTAAAAAAATTCCAAACTACTGAGGAGCTCATACCTTGCGTGAATCATGTCGAATTGTGACGACCTGTCAATTTATCATTTATCGTTTTGTATCTTGCTATATAAGGAATTTTCTTCTCCTTGCACATTATGACCGTCTATTACTATCTTAAGTTTATGGTGAATCGATCGAATTTTGACATTAACTTCCAACATTAGTCATTACGCATCCTTATTTTATTTTGTTTTGAGGCATCCACGAAAGATCAGCGCCGACGCCGAAAAATATATACATAAATGTTATTTGATTATTTTATGTTTTACAAATAAATTTTAATTTCATATAATATTTGGTATCTACTAATAAACATCCTTTCTTTCTATGACAAACTTTATTTTTATTTTTATCGCCTATAATCACATTACATTCCGCAAAAATAATAACAAAGTATCAAAAAAAATTATATAGTTTGACAAATGGGATGAAAGATGTGTTTGCAAATAATGCGGAAACAGTTCTACGTGACCTATATCTTTTTATATAAACATAAAGCTGTACCAGCCCGTGCCGACACAGGCGGGTTTAAAAGTAAAACATCGCGAAACTACAGCCTTCGAAGGCAATCGATACGCGTGTCTCTGTGCATTGTGAAAAAAAATACATTAAATAGAACATCATAAATGGAGTTCGGAAACTCGTACGAAAGGAGATCTAGATACAATAGGGTAAAGTATTGTTTTTATTTTTCTGTTTATTATTTCAAACGAAAATTTTAATACACCACCTAAAAATAAGTTGGGCTAAATGCTTGAAAAGGAAACCTCTTAGAAAACTAAATAAATTTACGCATGTTTAAGTGTTACCAGTATAAATTTTTTTTAAAAACAATATGCAACAGTTTAGGATGTCATCATTAAAATATTAATTAAAGTATGTAGAAAATTTTATAGAAGGGAAAATAAATAAAAGTAAAATTACACCCTTTATACGTCCTACTGCTGGGCACAGCCTATCATTTTGAAAGGGTCATAAGGCTCCAATTGCTGTTAGCATACGGTCTTCGAAATATCTTTATTTCTAAGAAAGGTTTCCTCATAATATTTTCAGAATCAGAAAGAAAAGAAATCAGAATGTAAAATCGAAATTAACAATATCGTAAGCGTCGCCGGGGCTTGAACTTGGGTCACCCGCGTACTGTGCAATTTACGGCAAGCACTTAGTATAGTGATATTATATTTTTTAAGTGGTAGAGCAACGCTCCAGCTATATTATGGTAGTACGAATGGCTCGGCTCGACCGGGGTAGGACCACGCTCTCACAGAATACCGGCGCAAAATAGCAACTTAATGCTGCTGTGTTTCGTACAGTGAGTGTAGAGAACGATTCAGATTTAAATTGTTAATAATGTCTATATATAAAAATCAATTGCTGTCCATTAATCTCGCTAAAACTCGAAACTAGCTTGACCGATTCTGATAAAGTTTTTTGTGTGTGCTTATGTCGAGTTCCAGAAATCAACCATCAGAAGCTGGGGTGGATTGCTAGTGTTGTAATAAATTAATGTTTGAATAAATAATATACATTACCTATGTAATGTTTTGTCTAGGATAATTAATAAAAAAATTTTTCAAGTGTGTGATGCAAATCACAATAACAAGAACGTTATAAGATGACAAACTTTATATAAATTTGTAATAATATTTTTTGTCTAGAATATGGGTGGCAAAAAACACATAGTTCACCTGATGCTAAATGGATACTGTGGCCCACAGACATCTTCATTCATCCTCAATTAAGCATCAAAATAGAGATGCGTTGTCACCCCTGAGGACTAAGATGGCATGCTTTGTATCCAGCAAAAATGGTCTCCAGTTTTCTACACTCACCATGCAAAACACAGCGGCATTAAGCTGTTATTTTACACTGATATTCTGTGAGAGTGGAGTTCTTCCCTGGTCGAGCGGCCCATTCGTTCTATAACTATAATAAAAAATATATTTGCCAAGCGTGACAAATAAGTCAAATTTCTCCCTACAATGGGAAAGGTCCATGTACAGCAGTGGACTGTCACAGGCTAAAGAAGATAATCATCAGTTTTTAAAATTATTGTAATAAATATTTAGATAAAACTAATTTTACAGATTTTATCGTGTATATTAACTTATTTTATATTCCTGACGTTTCGGGTGCTTTCCAGCACCCGTGGTCACGGGGGACTGAGATGTTTGACGTCCTGATGTCATAGTTAGCCCGGCTACCTTCAGTTTTTTGATATTCATTTTTGGTTCAATTTACGCAGAATGAGCTTACAGTATCTTGAAGTCTACCAGTGGTATACTTATAGTTATTATGTGCGATAAAATCTGTAAAATTAGGTTTATTTAAATGTGTAGTGTTCGCGTAAATATAAGAAATCATTATATAAATATTTAGGTACAAACTTACATTGATATCTGGATTTCTAGTAGCAAGTCCATGCCCCAGCAGAGATGTTACTGTACTTTTACCAACACCACCTTTGCCAGAAAGTATCAATATCTTATATTTTACATTTGAAAGACGGTTTTTAATCAATTCTATCGCAGGATCTGGTTCTGAGGCAGCACCTAAAGAAAAATATATTGAACATTAATACATTATGTTTATTACTACAATTTAGGCTCAACTCTACAAAATCTAAATATTATTTAAAGGTTTAAAGTTATACATAGATCTAAGTCTAATCCTAAAACATATTTTGGCTTAGCTTTCCATTGACGTCCATCGAGTTGGAGGTTATTTTTTTTTACAGAAAGGATACATTATTATAAGCACACAGGCAAAGTTTCATCATGCGGAAACGCATACTTTTTGAGAAAAAAATTATTAACAAACATTGACGGAGGTCAATGTAGTCGTACCCATATTTTTTAGCCAGAAAGCACTTTTCATGAATGTATTTGCATTTCATACATGTAAAAAATAAAATTAGTTTTTACATTCATGAAACTCAGTTTTTCAGATTTGGGCATACTAGGGGGATTCTAGGTTTTATGTAATTATGTTACATTATTTCCACAAAAGTTATATATAAAATTATATTAACTTTTATTTTTTTAGGGGATTTAAGTACCTTCAACTCAAAATTAATTGTAGGTTTTGTACATTTCCTCCATTGTTTAAGTATTGACAATTATGTATCTTGTGATGATAATAAACATAGAGATATTTAGTCACAACTTTCTTGCATTTTAGTAAAATACAAATTTTAATGTTGTCGAATGAAATTAACTCAGTTAGTCTTCTGAATAAGTAATTGTAATAAGCGATATAATGTAGGAAATGATTCTCATACTTGTTTATAAGTTCAAAGTCCCTCTTACCAGAAGAGCAAATATTCTGATTGGGGCAACCAGCACATGCCGAAGCTTTTCCAGCATCTTCACTCTGAGTTCCAGGGCAATCTGGGAAAATTATGAAACATCTTCATTTATTATATAAATTATAAAATTATCAAAATATTGATACTGACGAACGAAGTGTTTTACTAACTAATCAATTTATTATTATACTATTACTCACGTTGAGGTGCATTGTCAGGAACGTTGCTCATATTTTAAGTTTATTTAAATTAACAGCTTTAAGAAACTAAAAATTTATTTATAGCTATTATATTATAGTAAGAAAGCTAAATATTTAAAACATCACTGACAAACAGACAAATGCTATTGATACTGATAAAAATATGACATATCTGATATATGATATATGACATATCTGATATCTGACTATCTGACAAATAAAAATGATAAATAAAATTTGACAAATGACAATAGTATTTTTTTTTTGGAGTTTATGGCCTGGTATCTAGACCTTTAGGCCAAGTCTTAAGTATTTTTATTCGGTTTATTGTAATTTCCCCACTCCTTCATAGTATACTGCTTCACAATATGTTGATGCGTCACATTGTGCAGTTCTTGGGAGATTTTGGCGGCAACTTGATCCAGCAGACAGCTGATAGTTGGCGATGGTATCTAAAGGTGCCTATGCAAACAAACAGCTTATCTTGAGAATCCATCACCATCAGAGCACTTGTTTCACTGTTTCCACTAATAGTTCACATACGTAGACACTTAATACACAAAATCGCAACACTTTTACATATCAAAGTCCACTTCAAACCATTATTTAAACAATAATACAGGAGCCGCCGCCGGTCAATTTCCCGCCAAAACTCAATGACAATAGTATGACAATTTCAGTGTGACCAGATAAGAAATGACGACATAACCAAAGATTCCGCCGTGTTAGTATGTTATGTATGAGCAAAGGCACATAGGAAAATTCTAAATATCATCATTGACATGAATAATATTTCCTTTTTTGGCTCCAAAATTAACAACCTGTAATTGTCCTACTCACCAACCACTCACCAACCTATTCAGCTCTTGGACGAATTAAGAGATTGATGCCCAAATACTCAAACGCTGTTCAATTTTAAAACGACGTTAATTCTAATGCTGTCTCTATCACTTTAAGTCAAAGTGGCTGTGACACCACGAGACTTAACGACATCTTAAAATTGAAAAGCGTTTAAGTATTTGGCTATAAGACTCAGTTAAACTTGATTTGACTCAGTCCACAGAGTACAGTAATAAATATTATACTTTTATACTGGGCTATTTTTCAAAGAATAGCCAAATTTTAAACTAAAGTTGAAATATATAAATAATACCGTTGTGTAGTTTTAGAAAATACAAGTAATAAGGCTTCTACTTTTATTTAATAACGTTTTTGCCTACCGATCAACCCTTAATAAAGTGTGCGTGTGCAGTAAAATCAGTTAAAATCACCACGCATTTTGAATTTAAAAGATAAAAAGGACAAAATCTTTGAGATTTGTTTTTTATTTAATTTTTCTTCACCATTTGCCTATATTACTTATTCTGAATTGGCGATTGCATGTACTTATTAGGTGTCACAAACTTTTGACGTTACCGTGGCATACTTACTCGAGATGGTGTACCCACAGAGTGACTACACCGTCACCCATTGAAAGCCTAAAGATTTATAATGTTCCTTACGCTACCACCACATGACGTGAATATTTACCAATAAATTTACCAATTTAAAAATACCTAATAGAATAATAATTTTCGTTCCAGGAGCAGTGGTTAGCGCTCCTGTGAATTTCGCAGTACGCGAGCAACCCGGGTTCGATCCCCGCCGGCATCACTGAAATTGTGAATTGTAATTTTAAATGCTGATTTACCATGTGCTCGGCGGTTAAGGAAAACATCGTGAGGAAACCTGCATGTCTGAGAAATAAGAAAAAAATTCGAAGACATGTGAAGTCCGCCAACACGCATTGGGGCAGCGTGGCGGACATTTCCTTGCCCTAAAACCCTCTCAGAAATGAGAGGGAGGCTTGTGTCCAGGTGTGGGACGTATATAGTCTGTAACTTTAACTTTTCACCCATAATAATTTATTGAATATAATTAGACAAGGAATAAAAAATATCAAAATATTTTTACGTGGCTGCTGCAGGTACAGCTCGTATGGATAAAGAATGGCATTAGAAATATGGGCTCATCAAGCCCGTATCGTCAACATGCACAGTAGCAATAGATAAAACCCGCTAATAACGGCATATCGCTATCGCTATAACGTTATATTATTCGGTTAATTGGAAATTTTCTATTATTGGGAATGTATTTGAAAAGAATTGTATACGCAAGTAGATACATTAATTTTAATCTAACATTTATAACTAGCGACCCACTCTGGCTTTGGCTGGGTGAGATCCATTAATGTAGCGTTATTTAGACTTAAAGTTAATTTAAGACCATTTATTTTACCTTATCAATATTTCTATTTTAATAAAATGTAGGCTGATCCTCCTGCTATTACTCTCTATTTGTTCGTAAAGTTTTATTACAGTCGGTTCAGGTATTCCGAAGATTAGATAGGCTAACGAAAGTTTTAAAAATGGTTACTAATGTCTCAATAGCATGCAAATATTTTATACAAAAATATTAACAAAAACTCAACAATAATTATAAAGAAAACTCTCAAAACGCGTCGTAGCTCACAAATCGGTGGATACTGGACTATTTTTATGTAGTATAAGGCGTTTTGTTGTTATTGTTTCCAATGACAAGTTGTACTGAAGTTATAGAACGTACAAAAAACCTACATCACAATGTAGGTTTTTTGCAGTCTTTGCCGGCGGGTGTGCGTATAGACACTATCTATATAGCGACAGTGTGCAAGCAAGAAGTTAATAAAGGAGACGCCATTTTCAATCCCATTCTTTAACCTCACGGGTAGTAAGTAGTAACAGTACAGTATATATCAATAATGCCCTTTAGATTTCCTTTTACAAATGATTAAGTTTAAATTTATTGCTTTGATTGATTTTAATTCAATAACTAGCGATAAATTGCATTATTTTACATTGAATGGTATTCATATTATTTATTATATACATAACATATTTTATTATAACTCTTAGAATTTAAAAAATACTATCCAAAATTATAAAATGGCAAGAAGTAATTTCAAGATTCAATGCTTTAGCGGACTTCAAAAACTTAGGAGTTCCTCAATTCAATTGTATATTTTTTTGTAATTTTATATGTTTTTAAAGTTCTTCGTCAGTTGTGGACGTATTTTAATATTCTTTTATGTTAAATAGTCAAGATTTTTAAAATATCTATGGGTGAAAAAATAGTATGACAATATGGCTACAATTAGCCATTTTAGTTGTTACTTTATACTTGTGATTATTTAGCTTATTAGCCAGAGTCATGTTAATTATAAGCTTACTCTTCTCAAAAAGTAAAATACATATCAAAACCTTAAAAAACAATAAGTAATTTCCTCAAAATTTAATTGCTTCTGAAGTTGATGCTACCGAAAAACCTAAGGTTTTTCGGTTTTCGAACAAAAACAAGTTGAACTTTAAGCTGATATTAAATTACGAAAATTAATGGTTAATAAGACTTTAGGTTTTTTTTTATAGAAGTAGGGTGACAAACGAGCACACAGTCCACCTGATGGTAAGTGGTTGCTGTGGCCCATAGACATCTACATCTATCCTCCTTTGCGAATCAAAATGCAGATGCGTTGTCAGCCTCGAGGACTAAGATGGAATGCCTCTTTTCCAGTAAAAAGGGTCTCCGGTTCTCTACACTCACCATACTAAACACAGCAGCATTAAGCCGCTATTTTACGCTGGTATTCTGTGAGAGCGTGGTCCTTCCCCGGTCGAGCCGACCCATTCGTGCTACAACTATATTATAAATATAGCTGCAGCTTGGCTCTACCACGTAGAAAATGTTAAATTAAATTAAATGGTTAAATTGAAGTTATTTTTTTTTGTTATTTGAAAGACATTAACGAACTAAGATAAACTTTATCTATTGCAAGCTCCGGAGGTGCTAACCTATATTTCAAGGTTCATTTTTTGTTTATTTCGTTTTACCATCTTTCGAGATTTGCAAATATTTAAAAAAAATGGGAAATCCAAAAGTGCACACCTCGAACGCTCATGTAATGTTTTGAATAATCAGTTTACTTTTACTAATTACCGAAACACGTACTCCGTTTAAAGCTACAAAAAATTATTTCTGTTTAATTAACACGAAATTTTTTGACTGATTCGTATTTTGTAAAAATTTTCACATAATTAAAAAAAAAAAAAACCTATTCACATTGAATTTTACACACAGGGAACAGTTACTACAGGGAACAGTTCCATAGTAAGGCATTTGCCCTTAGAAAGTAACACCAACAAGTGTGTGGTACGGTTCATAATATGTTGTACCCGTGATTTTTAAAGTAAGTACAAATTACACGTTCCGATTTTATTTAAGTTCATAGGCAAATAGAGAGAGAAAGTTAATTAAAAAATCTCAAATATTCTGTCCTTTTTATCTTTTAAAGTCAAAATGCGTGGTAATGCGTTATTTTAACTAATTTTACTGCACACGCACACATTCGTAAGGGTCGGTAGATAAAAACGTTGTTGCCCACAAATCACATTCAATTTGGAATAATCTATACAAATAAATAAAATTGAAGTGTCTGTTTGTAATGTCAAAATAACAGCTTTTTACTAAATGCATGTGAAGGTATATACCTACTGTACTTATAACAAAAACACAATTTTTTTTAATTTTTTTGTCTGTCTGTTTATTCCGGCTAATCTCTGAAACGGCTGGACCGATTTTGACGGGTCTTTCACTAGCAGATAGCTGATGTTATAAGAAGTAACTTAGGCTACTTATATTTTCGAAAAATAATTAGGGTTCCGCTCAACAAAATTAAAACCCTAATTTATACGCGGGCAAAGTTGCGGGGAACAGCTAGTTTTAAATAAAAGTAGAATCCCTTAAAATTAATATATATGGTAAATTTATATATTTGAACTTATGATTTAAATTTGGCTACTCTTTGTCTTTAACACTGTATAAGTGTAATATAAAGCTGTGGAAGTGATTTGAGTGGATCGCGATTTTTGATTTTGTGACAGTAGGGCACTATATCTCCGCTTCGCGTTCGATGTGTGCAATAAGCACAATTAACATTATTGTTATGTTTAGAATTTTATTCATAGATAATATTTAATGTAATCAGACTATGTGCTTAGAATATGTATCACCCGTAATGACTATTGAACTTTTGAACGAATTTCTATTTTAATGTTGGCTATCATGAAAATTTTAGTTCTGATTTGTTTTGATTTTGAATTTTAAAAATATCATGTTGTCCATCAAATTTTATTAATTCATTTGTAAATATTTCTTTTAGTATTTTTTCAAATTGTACAGCATGGCTAAGGAAGTGTCTATGTGCACGGTAACAAAATCAGTCAACGGAATAAAATAAAGATTAAATTAGACATATTTAGTTTATTAGTTATATTATACATACTAACTTCTAATATAAAAATATTAAATTTTTACAGCAACTTCAACAATGGAGCCCTGTAAAACCTACAGGGGGTTCTCCAAGCGTACCCCCACAAGTTGGCTACTGTTTTCATACGCCTAAGAAACACCCTTGGAGACCTATTATGGGTTACGAGGAAATTGAAGTTACACCAATGTAAATAGCTAATATTTGATTAATATAATCATCTAGGTAGTAGTGATGGTTACCGTTGACAGGTTTCGATCATAGCATAAGTTTTAGACATTGAAGAAATTGTGTACCGACTACTACGTAGTACTATTATTTATTCTGTACGTAGTAACATACTAGAAGAGACGCCGATCCTTGGTTGTTTGCAACACACATTAGAGTCCGCGCGCTCAAACTTAGTCTGTCCCATAAAAAGGTATTATGTACCTCTTTCCACACGTACGTAGTACATATAATTACAATGAATTTTAGAGTACTTTTTGTAAAACAAAGACCTGCGCAGATGGCGGGCAGACGGCAGTGTGTTTTTTGTCCTACAAAATAAACATCTTAGGTAACTGTAAGGCAAAGTTACAGCCTATATACGTCCCACGCTAGGCACAGTCTTCTCTTATTTTGTGTCTCGTGTTGTAGCAAGGAAAAGACCACCGCGCTGCCGCAATACGTTTTGGCGCACTTGACAGTGACTTCGTTTTTTTTTTTAATTTCTCTGACATTCAGGTGCTTCCCACGCAGTTAATCATCCAGCACTTGAAATTGCAACTAACAAATTCATAGGCGCCGGCGGGGTTCGAACCAGATTGTTTGGGTACTGCAAAATTTACGACGAGCGTTTAGCTTCTGAACTACCACAGCTCTTACCAAACTGCATGACATAATAAATAAATAACATGAGTGAAAAGTTTTATCGGCTGGTGATTATCCATGTTACATATAAAAGTCCACAGCTGAACATAGGCCTCCCCCATAGATTACCTCATATAGAGTATATTTGCCATAGTTGCCACGCTTGTCTGGCGGGTTGGCAAGCGCAGTTTTTTATTTTCTTGATGATAAAAAGACGTTGTTGCTTATCTCCTGGTTTGTTTCCCTGTGTCGCCTACGACAACCACGGGATGATAGAGTGTAGTAGATATTCTCACACTGCCACTACACGGTTAATATGTGTATATTTGTATTGTTTAAAATTATATCCGTAGTTTTCCGTAAGTAAAGCATAGGTCACAAAATACAAACAGTACAGTGTAAGTACTGAGGTTCGTTGGAACAGCTGGTTTCCTTAGAACTACGCTGTTTTATCCGACACTGACTGCGCGGACTAATGGCTGATTTACACAGGGACAGTAACTGGCTCCAAATTCGAGGCAAGTCAGTGCTGACCCGCTACTGGCATAATGTAAATTGATTTGAAATCAGTACAGCACTGTCTGCGCGACTACTGACTGCGTGTAAACGGTGCAAGTCATGAAAAATACAACACTTATGTAATACCTACTACCTAGGGGTGGATCAGGAATTAGTGGGGCCCTGGGCTACTACTACTTGGAGGCCTACCTAATACGAGTAATTAATAAAACTAATGGCCATTTTGTCAAAAAACTATTAACCCTCGTCTGGTGACGTGCATATGAGTCACAGTATTGGAGAGGTGACGTCGTCGGCGTATTAATATAAAGCCTTAAATAATGTGTATTATGGATCATCATCATCATCATCATTACAGCCCTTCACAAGTCCACTGCTGAACATAGGCCTCCCCCAATAAATGCCACAAAGCATGGTCCTGAGCCACCTGCATACATCGACTTCCTGCATGCCTTACCAGGTCGTCACTCCATCTAGTGGGAGGACACCCTACACTTCATCCAACGGTACGAAGCTGCCACTCGAGAACCTTTTTTCCCCATCGGTTGTCGGTTCTTCGAGCTAAATGGCCGGCCCATTGCCACTTCAGCTTACTAATCCGTTGGGCTATGTCGGTCACTGTAGTTCTACTGCGGATATCCTCATTTCTAAGTTTATCACGCAGAGAAACCCCGAGCATAGCCCTCTCCATAGCTCGTTGAGCGACCTTGACCTTGCTCATACGGCCAGCAGTGAAGAACCACGTTTCAGTTCCTTAGGTCATCACTGGCAACATGCGCTGGTTGTACAGTTTAGTTTTTAAATTTTGAGGTATACCTGACGAGAAGATATGCCGTAATTTCCCTAACGCTGCCCAGCCGAGTTGAATCCACCGATTGACCTCTCGGTCGAAGTTGGACTTACTTAGTCAGACTATTTGTCCCAGGTAAACATACCCTTCAACAACTTCGAGCTTAGAGTCCCCAACAGCTACCGGCATAGGAGTGACATGGACGTTACACATGACTTTTGTTTTGTCCATGTTCATCTTAAGACCTATCCGTTGGGAGGCACTATTGAGGTCATTGAGATGAGCATAGTACTTAGGTCCTCCAGCGATTCTGTCATAACGACTATATCGTCGGCAAATCGAAGGTGAGTGATGTACTCGCCATTGATGTTAATACCGTGTCCTTTCCAGTCCAGTAGCTTGAAAACGTCATCCAATGCAGGGGTGAAGAGTTTCGGGGATATAACGTCACCCTGTCTTCTGCGGTTGGATAGGTTTTGTACTCTGGTTCTGTACTCGGATAGCCATCATAGCCCTACTGTACAAACACTTCAACACTTCTAAATACCGACAATCAACTTGGCACCGTTGAATGGACTGCAGCACCGCCCAAATTTCGATGGAACCAAAGGCTTTCTCATAGTCCACATACGCAAGACATAGTGGCAAATTGTACTCCTTGGAATTCTGAACAATTTACCGAAGGGTATGTACATACATCTATAGTGCTAAAGCCTTTTCGGAAACCGGCTTGTTCCGGAGGCTGGAAGTTGTCAAGTCTGCGTGCAAGGCGATTCGTAATGACTTTCAAAAACAGCACGTAGATGCGGCTCAGAAGGGAAATCGGTCTGTAGTTATTCAAGAGAGCGTTTTCGCCTTTCTTGAAGAACAAGATCACCGCACTTCTGCTCCACGCCTCCGGTGTAGTGCCACCATGGAGGACGGAATTAAAGAGCTTCTCAAGGACTTTGAGTCCAGATTTTCCACCCGCTTTCAGAAGCTCCGCTTTAATTCCATCCTCGCCTGGGGCCTTGCCGTTTTTAAGGTGCTGGAGAGCCATTCTAATCTCGCTCAGACTGACGACCAGAATATCATGGGAATAGTGTCGGATAAGACTTGCTCTTGGATCGTTACTGACACCTGTATGTGGCTCGAACGATGATGTGTAGCGCTGCCCGTAGAATCTCTCAATCTCCCTCAAAATCTCAGGTGTCCCGGAACGCTGCCACACTCGATCTTCAGCTTCGACAGTTGGCTCTTTCTGGCAGACAGATCTCTAGCAAAGACTTTGAAGCCCTGGTTCCGCCCGCTTCGTTCGACTGGCCTCGGTTGTTTGGGTTGAATTCGGGGGGATTTCTCTTTTATTCTTTGTTCATAGTACCCACATAAGTCAGACCCTTTTCCTTTAAAAGCTTCATTGCTTCTGTTGATTTAAATCAATTGTCTCCGGTTACATTCCAGTTGCTCTGTGTAGGTTTCGAGTAATCCTTTTCTTCATGCACCAATCTCTGTCCATCTGTATCTTTTCCACAGTATATTTAAGCACTGTAGAGGTGATTGGTCAATGCATCAGTCATGCATATGAGCTTCACACCATATTTGCCCGGTTTCTTCGGCATATAGAGGAGGGATTTGCAACGACAACGGCATCTGACAAGCATTTCGTCAATACACATGTAAGAACCAGGGGTATAGTATTTTAGCAGTTTGAGATGAAAATAACATAAAACTCGGTTATATATGTAGCCGGATCATTTTTATTTTTTTCTTCTCTGGTATTGTGAGTATCGAAACGTAATACTGCTAGTAACAGAAGAAAACGTTTTTGTGAAAAAAATACATCGAAATATTTCCCTTCCTTTTCCATCTGCGGCAATCAAAGATGCAGCATCTTCTTTATTGCTTTTGAAAATAGCAGTCAAAAACAGGCATCCTCTGAGTGTTCGTAATTCAATAACATCGATGTCTTTCAACTCGGGTCGATCTTCCTTCCGTATTTATGCCTCATATCTTGTACTTTTCTATTCGTGTGTTGAACAACTATCTGTAAAATATCTTCAGAGAACAAAATATTCCAGAAGTCTTCACGCGTCATATTTGAGCCTTGAACTGTAACAATATTATGGCTTGGAGTTCTAACACTGCTTCTATGAGGATCTTTATACCACTTGAACGGTTGGCTATTTCCCACTTGTTTTCCTAAATAGAATGGTCTGCTACTTGTATGTTGATCAAAGGCTCATCGTCGGAGTCGCTATCAATCTCTGGATCTCGTTCTTCACCCTCAGACTCGGCAATCTCACTTGAAGTATCATGGTCGGATTCTAAGGCATGATTTTGATCCAACTTGCGATTCTCTAGGTCACTGACATCACTGTCAGTGTGATCCAAGACTTCAGTAACTCGCCGCTCGTAATCGTGATCATTTGGATTCATTTTGAATGAAAAACGCCAAACTGCACACGAGGCAGCTACTAGGGGGACAGTAGTGGGGGGCACGCCATTTTTAAGTAATACAATGAATTTTGCGTTGCGACATCAAATTGACGGTACGTTACCAGTTGAAGGTTAAATCGATGACAATTCCCAACGCACAATTTTTCCCACGCTTCGTGAATTTTGGTGAACTCCTCCCTATGCGGCAATCTATGGAGGAGGCCTATGTTCCCCAGTGGATTTTTCATAGACTGTAATAGTAACAGATAATGGTATTCTTTTAACTTCTATGTGTACCGCAATCGACGATAAAATTCTTAGTTAATATTTATTCCCATAGAATACTATAATACAACTTATTCCACACGTACAGTTCTTGCACTGACTGGGATTCAAAATCGGGACGCGATAATTACTAAGCCAACAGGTATTTACGGCAGTATTCATTTGTTTGATCATCCACAGCAATCAAAAGTCCATTGCTAAACATCCTCCAAGGCCTCCCCAACTCTTTTATAAATGAAGAGTTGACTACGGTTTAGTCCGACCGAACAACAAAAGGTGTCTATCTAAATCACGCTATCGAAGTTTGTGAACGACTCAACTATAAATATAACAGCTCTGCACTACAACACGGAGCGTTGGCTATCCCACCGGGCAAGGCCCAATCATAACAATGTTCCTTTTTTCAGGCCATCACAACCAATAACAAATACAATGGTAGACCCCTGCTACACATCCGAGGGTATGGCCGCCGAACCGCTCCGATTTCCGAACCTGGTGACCGGCTTCGACCGCAGCCCAGAGCACGCAGCACGCGCCGCTCTCTACACGCGCTACACACAGCACGAATGGACGCAGAACAGTATCAGAAACTACAACGAATCGGATGCCAAGCGGAACTTCTCGGAGAGGGTCCGAAATGATATCATGAGAATGTTACGGTAAGCCAAACACTTAAGATGTTTCTCCAACACTTTATAATAATTAATGCTAAGTGATTTGTAGAACCATGTTGCAGCTATATTATAGCACAAATGGGTCGGCTCGACCGGAGAAGGACCATACCACAGATGAAATAATGTTCCTATGTAAACCATGCTCTAAAGCGTAAAATAGTAGCCCAATGCGGCTGTGGTTCGTATATGAGAAAGTAAAGAATCGGAGACCTTTTTACTGGAAACAAAGCATTTAATTTTAGTCCTCAGGGGTGGCAACGCATCTGCATTTTGATTCTTAATCGAGGATAGACATCTATGGGACACAACATCCACTTACCATCAAGTGGACTGTGTCCTCGTTCGTCGCCTTTATTTTATAAAATAAACCGACCGTGCTTAGTGCTACTAATACCCTGATTTATTAATTGAAATCATGACAATTTGCACGCATATGACAAAAAAGGTGCAGAAATTTAAGCTAAGTACACATACAAAATATTGCTGTAGCTCGTTCAGTTATTCTGTTTTAACCATTCAACATTTTAAGAATATTTTGTTTGGAATTTTGTGGCTTTTACTAAATGGTGGAATAAGCACCAGTGTCGGAGAGCAGCGGTAAAGATGAGAGACATCCTAATGTCCTATACTGTTATACAGAGAAACGGATGAAATTGGCGCTCAAGGTCAGAGGGACTCTGGCAGAAAGATCGGAGAACGAATCACAGACACCACCTTCTGGCGGAATGAGGTGAGACCTATAACATAATTATATATGAACCAATTTTAATATTTGGCTGATGTGGACCTCATAACAAACTTTCTACTAAATATGTATAAATAAAATAATAAAATAGATGTTGGGAGGTGTTAGTATATGTAGGTATAAGAAATTATACTTCAGATTATATAAACATAAGCATGTAAGACGAGAACTACTGCCGACATACTGTACTACAGTTTAACAGATGAAAATGTTAAAAACGTTTATTTTATTTTTTGGAAGAAAATAAATTAAAAAAAAAAAACAATGTTGGCGGTATCACATCTGTTTGTGATCTCATGGATGACAATAAAAAAAGTTTTGAAATGAATGCCATTTAATATTACACTAGCGATAGCGCAGGGTACTCTCGTAATAGTTCCTTACATTCGAACGTGAGACCCTCTCTGTGTAACTCTTTTCATCTCATGAATATAGTAGCTCAATGCATTTTAATAAAATTAAAATAATAAAATTTGAAGTTTACGCCATTAGCATACGGTGTCATTTATTTTAAAAGCCTCTCGTATTCCATTAAACGAACGCTCTTTATCAAGAAGGTGTCAACTGGAATGCCTGAAAAACCAGTAATATGGGATATGGGTTAAGGCAATTTCAAATGAATATACTGGAATAGATAGATATATGTATAAGAATCGTCTCGCGCGCAGACTTGACGACTTCCAGCCTCCCGAACAAGCCGGTTTCCGAAAAGGCTTTAGCACCATAGACCACATACATAACATTCGGCAAATTGTACAGAAGTCCGAGAAGTACAATTCGCCACTATTTCTGGCGTATGTGGACTATGAGAAAGCCTTTGATTCCGTCGAAATTTGGTCGGTGCTGCAGTCCCTTCAGCGGTGCCAAGTTGACTGTCGGTATATCGAAGTGCTGAAGTGCTTGTACAGTAGGGCTACGATGGCTATCCGAATACAGAACCAGAGTACGAAACCTATCCAATTGCAGAGAGGTGTAAGACAGGGTGACGTTATATCCCCGAAACTCTTCACCGCTACATTGGAAGACGTTTTCAAGCTTCTGGACTGGAAAGGATACGGTATTAACATCAATGGCGAGTACATCACTCACCCTTATTGCCGACGATATATTCCTTATGGCAGAATCGCTGGAGGACCTAAGCACTATGCTCAATGACCTCAATAGTGTTTCCCAACGGATAGGTCTTAAGATGAACATGGAAAAAACAAAGATCATGTTTAATGTCCATGTCACACCTATGCCGGTAGTTGTTGGGAGCACTAAGCTCGAAGTTGTTGACGAGTATGTTTACCTGGGACAAATAGTCTGACTAAGTCCAACTTCGACAGAGAGGTCAATCGACGGATTCAACTCGGTTGGGCAGCGTTCGGGAAATTACGGCACATCTTCTCGTCAGGTATACCTCAACACTTGAAAACGAGACTGTACAACCAGTGCGTGTCGTCAGTGATGACCTATGGAACTGAGACATGGCCCTTCACTGCTGGCCGGATGAGGAAGATCAAGGTCGCTCAGCGAGCTATGGAGAGGGCTATGCTCGGAGTTTCTCTGCCTGATAAACTTAGAAATGAGGATATTCGCAGTAGAACCAGAGTGACCGACATAGCCCAACGGATTAGTAAGCTGAAGTGGCAATGGGCCGGCCATTTAGCTTGAAGAACCAACAACCGATGGGGATAAAAGTTTCTCGAGTGGCGGCCTCGTAACGGCGGACGAAGTGTAGGGCGTCCCCCCACTAGATGGAGTAAAGATCTGGTAAGATATGCAGGAAGTCGGTGGATGCAGGTGGCTCACGACTGTACTTTGTGGCATTTCTTGGGGGAGGCCTATGTTCAGCAGTGGACTTGTGAAGGGCTGTAAGATGACGATGACGATGTATACGAACCGTGATAGCTCAGCAACGTCGTCGACACCAATCGTCGACACAAAAATAACTGCAATTTTAAGTACTATTTACCACTTGGTCTGCGATGAGGCAAAATATCGTTGAGAAACTTAAATAATAACTGTAAAATAAATCGAAGACATATATAAAATCTTCAAAACGCACTGGAACATTATGGCAAACCAACTGTTCCATAAAGTTTTCAAATTAAAAGGAGGCCTTTGCCCAGCAATAGGATGTATTTTAGCTTGGGTGTTTTATCGCATCTACTACAGTTCGTACTAATTCCAGCCGCTCAATTTCACCATCGCACATCGCGACAATACTCGCGACAACATCATTGATGATTGACGGTCCACCACTGTGCGATTTACAAGAAGCTTTCTTCCTGGCACAACTTCCCTGTGGAATCGACTACCACCAGCGATTTTTCTGGACCAATACGACTTAGGGTAGAGACCTTCAAGAAAAGAGCCTACTCTTTTTTAAAGGACCGGTAACGCATCTGCAATTCCCCTAAATTTGCAGTTTTTCATAGGCTGCATTAGTCACTTACCATCAGGTGAGCCGCATGCTCGTTTGCCCCCTCCTATAAAAAAAATACATTTCGGCATTTGGTGCCGGCACTCCGATAGTGTCTGACGTCATCCAAAGCGTAACGATTAAGGCAAATCGTCCCTACAACGGAAGAGGTCCATGTCGTGGATTCTATCGGGCTGATGAAGGACAAGAAGAGTGTGTTTACATCAGGTGGCGATTGAAATGGAGCGTCTAGTGGCGACGTGCGAGAAGCTGAGCGACACCAGGCGGCAGTTAGAACGCGCGGTGGCGGGCGTGGAGGGCCCGCTGCACATCGCGCAGGAGTGCCTCTACCACCGCGAGAAGCGACAGGGTGACCGTTCACACGCACTCGCACACGCTCACGTACACACGGCAGCTGTGGTGCCTCTACCGCCACGACAGGGTTACCGTCCACACGCACACGCACACATACACACGGCAGCTGGAGTGCCTCTAACACCGCGAGAAGCGACAGGGTGACCGTACACACGCACACGCACACATACACACGGCAGCTGGAGTGCCTCTACCACCGCGATAAGCGACAGGGTGACCGTCCACACGCACACGCACACGCACACGTACACACGGCAGCTGGAGTGCCTCTACCACCGCAAGAAGCGACAGGGTGACCGTACACACGCACATCCACACATACACACGGCAGCTGGAGTGCCTCTACCACCGCGAGAAGCGACATGGTGACCGTCCACACGCACACGCACACATACACACGGCAGCTGGAGTGCCTCTACCACCGCGATAAGCGACAGGGTGACCGTCCACACGCACACGCACACGCACACGTACACACGGCAGCTAGAGTGCCTCTACCACCGCGAGAAGCGACAGGGTGACCGTACACACGCACACGCACACATACACACGGCAGCTGGAGTGCCTCTACCACCGCGAGAAGCGACATGGTGACCGTCCACACGCACACGCACACATACACACGGCAGCTGTAGTGCCTCTACCTCCACGACAGGGTGACCGTCCACTCGCACACGCACACGCACACGTACACACGGCAGCTGTAGTGCCTCTACCGCCACGACAGGGTGACCGTCCACACGCACACGCACACATACACACGGCAGCTGGAGTGCCTTTAGCCTTTACCACCGCGAAAAGCGACAGGGTTGCCGTCCACACGCACACGCACACATACACACGGCAGCTGTAGTGCCTCTACCTCCACGACAGGGTGACCGTCCACACGCACACGCACACGCACACGTACACACGGCAGCTGTAGTGCCTCTACCGCCACGACAGGGTGACCGTCCACACGCACACGCACACATACACACGGCAGCTGGAGTGCCTTTAGCCTTTACCACCGCGAGAAGCGACAGGGTTGCCGTCCACACGCACACGCACACATACACACGGCAGCTGTAGTGCCTCTACCTCCACGACAGGGTGACCGTCCACACGCACACGCACACGCACACGTACACACGGCAGCTGTAGTGCCTCTACCGCCACGACAGGGTGACCGTCCACACGCACACGCACACATACACACGGCAGCTGTAGTGCCTCTACCTCCACGACAGGGTGACCGTCCACACGCACACGCACACGTACACACGGCAGCTGTAGTGCCTCTACCGCCACGACAGGGTGACCGTCCACACGCACACGCACACATACACACGGCAGCTGGAGTGCCTTTAGCCTTTACCACCGCGAGAAGCGACAGGGTTGCCGTCCACACGCACACGCACACGCACACGCACAAATACACACAGCAGCTGGAATACTTCTACCACTGCGATTAGTGACAAGGTGACCGTCCACACGCACACGCATACATACACACGGCAACAGGAGTGCCTCTACCACGTAAACGTCTACAAGTAAACGCGATAAAATCCGTAAAATTAGTTTAATTTCATAAGCAGACAACAGTGTTAGAGACTTTTTAACGTATATTTTTATCGTGTAATCAACCACAATGCTATTTCGAAGGTTTGGAACAAGTTCACGACACCGTGGAACAATCCCTGCTTAAGGAGGTGGCGATCTTGCGTGAATGCCAGGACAAGTTCCGGAATATGTTGGAGAAGGTAATGCTTGAATCTGACAACGATGCACGTTGTATCCGATGTATACTAAGCACGATAATAATATGTTACAGGAACTGAAAACAACTGCATTCAACTGACTCTTGACTTTAAATGAAACTAATTTTTACGGATTTTATCGCGTTTAATTTATTTTTTTAATTTCCGACATTTCGGGTGTTTTACAGCACCCGTGGTATCGGGGACTAAGGTGTTTGACGTCCCGATGTCATAGTTAGCCCGGCTACCTTCAGTTTTTGATTTTTTTTTAATTTCGCGTTTAATTTAATTTTGAAGTTAAATTAAACGCGATAAAATCCGTAAAAATTAGTTTCATTTAATGTGTAGTCTTCGCGTAAATATAAGAAATCATTATGACTCTTGACTGTAATTTATTATTATTATTACGAATAAATAAATTCATAATCATGTTTAATAAATAGTAATGTATTTACATATCATTCAAATATATGCAGTATTAAAAACCATAATAATAAAACTAAAACTGTTCCGGGAAGTCTGCAATTTGTGATCATATCCTAGACGGTCCTCGCCATTACATTAGATTGGATAAACCACAAATTCTCGCGAAAAAACATCGATTCCTGCCAAGGATGATACGTGAGGCTATTGAAATTAAAAATATTCTAATTTCCAGAGGCTGGATTACCACCTGCTTAGGATCCTGTAATTAATATAACTAAAACTAAACCCAAACATACTACTGCAACACTTAAAGACAGTTAAGTTCATTCTGCGTAAATCGGACCAAAACTATTAACTGAAAAGCTGAAGGTGCTCTGGGTTAACTCTGACATCGGGACATCAATCACCTCAGTCCCCCGTGACCATGGGTGCTGGGAAGCACCCGAAACGTCGGAAATTTAAAAATAAGTATAATTAAACGCGAAAAAATCCGTAAAAGTAGTTTTATTCAATAACTACATCTTACATTAATTAAATTTCTGTACAGGTTCGGCAGCAATCGAAGAACTGCCGCGCCACCCAGCACGAGTTGGAGAGCGACATGCGCAACAAGGAGTACGCGCTTGGCATCGACAACATGTGTCACCAGCTCAACAATTTTTCGAAGGTTAGTGCAATAGGATGATGTTAGTGATAAAGCCACATCGTTGCAACCTGTCCTTCACTGTGTAACAAAGGTCAAAAGTTAGTTAAGGTAGTTTTAGTATCAAAGGACACGATAGCCACGTTAAGAGTTAAAAAAGTAGACAAGCAAAAGTTGTCGTAGTAGAATAATAAACAAATTGACTATGTTTTGTTAACTATATATATAAATAAAATTGAGTGCCTGTCCGTATTATCGAAATAGCCTTATAATGCTGAAGTGGTGTTGTTTGTACGCCATTGGCACGATTGCAAATCAAATCTGTTAAAATATTATAAAATAAATTTTACATGAACAGGTCAATGAATATTGATCTTTCCAAAGGATCGTTCTAAAGGTTTAGTTATAGGTCGTTTGTTATACTTCTTTATATATTTATGGAGTGATCGTCTTAGTTAAGACCCTTATTTACGTTGTGTTTGTTTAGTAACTTAATTGATTTAAGTGTCTCTTGGAATAATAAATATGCATTCGAAATCTGTTTACAAGGAATAGGTTCAAAAAGATTAAGAACTTTAAATCGTCCCTATTCCGTTTGTATCAGTATCAGGTTCATATTAGTCAATTCCTTATTACGAATTACCCGCTTGGAAAAGTTCACATTTATATAAAAGTACGCGAGGACGCTTGGCATTTTTTTTAGCTTTGCCTGATAACCCCCGAACGAAATGACTGTTTGCATCTAGATAAGAGTGATAATCCCCCTCCCCCTCCTTCCCCTACGGGGCGACACTGGTAGTTTTTAGAACTGGCCACTTGTAAACGATACAATAAAAAAATAAGTTCATATTTTGAAAATGGAACTCTTTGCCAATATTATTGTGTATGTATTTTATTAATTTATCGTTTGCTTACGATTTGGCGGCAAACTGAATATGGTCAGTGTCACGTCAGCATGAATTTAACGCGAGAAAATTTTCGTACAATCATTTTTATGATTTCGATGTCGTTTAAGTCAACAACAAAGTTATGATAGACTTCGATGGGCCTTTCACGATGAAGCCCCATCTCGTGCCACTGATTACAACTGCTTTAAAGAGTTTAAGCATGGTCGCACTAATCTCACCGATGATATGCGTGACGGACGGCCTTCTACGGCGACGGCTGAAGATAACATCAGTGTTGTGCATTGATAGAGAACGACAAAAGAGTGACTTATCAGCAGATTCGGACAAGCTTAAGCATCGGTATGAGCCAAGTGCACAAAATCCTCCATGTATATTTAGCGGTCAGGAAGCTTTATGCCCGGTTATACCTCGTAACTTGATTGAGGCTCAAAAACTCCGTCTTGTTGATTGGTGTCGTGAAATGGTTCAAAGATTTAACAGAGGTGACTCAAAGGCTGTGTTCGACATACTTACGGGTGACATAAGCTGGATTTATTATTATGATCCTGAAACTAAGGGACAGTCTACTGTCTGGATGTTTCCGTCCGAGGAGTTGCCAACTAAAGTGAAGAGAGGTCAAAGCGTGAAACAAATGTGAAAGATGGTGGCCTCCATCCAACAATTGTTTTAGAGGATCGAAAAACAGTTACTGCAGAGTGGTACACTAACAACTGTTTGCCACTTGTCTTGGAAAAAAAAAGAAAGTTTGGGAGAAACGACCTCGGAGTAGGATCCTCCTTCACTACGACAACGTCTCGTCGCACACCGCCAAGCAAACAATCGACGACTTGGCGATGTTAAACGTGAAATTACTGGGTCACCCGCCCTATAGCCCCGACCTTGCACCTTGCGATTTTTATTTATTTCCAAAAATAGAAGAAAAACTTCGAGCAAAACGTTTTATGGACGCCGAGGAAGCAGTGGCTGCGTTTCAAAATGCTGTCGAAGAGACCCCTAAGGGGGAGTGCGAAAAGTGCTTTTCTCAGTGGTTCCATCGGATGCAGCGATGTATTGATGTAAATGGACACTATTTTGAAAAGATATAATAAAACTAATAACTTGCTAGTTTGTTCAGTTTTTGATTTTCTAAGAACTTTCAGTATTACCCTCGTAGTTTGCGGAAATCCATTATATTAGAGATATTAAAAATTTATTTGCTAATATCTGTGTAATATAATAAAACGATGCATAGTACCTAGTTTGAGGAGCACCTCCCGATCTCCCTCAGTTACGTGCACTATGCCTGTCACTGCTACTCCCAACACTACACTAGGAAAGACAGACCATCGTCGCTAATACGATAAGTGTTTCGCTTCTAAACGAGGCATCCTCAGGTGAAGTAGATTCTGCGGTCATCTCTCTTAGCTCATTAATTTTTAACGACAAGCAGTTGTTTGGAGTGGTAGTTAATCGGTGGTGTAGCGCGTAGTTGTGTGGCGGCGCAGGGCCTGCAGTTCTACGCGGGCATCGAGCGCTACGAGCCGACGGTGAGCGACGCGGCGCGCTGGGCGGCCGCCAGCGCCGCCACGCTGCAGCGCTCGCACTCCGAGCGCGCCAAGGCGCTGCAGATGCTCTCGGGTGAGCGCCACCTCACCACCTCACCACCTCACCACTCGCCACAACCACCACTCTCCAAATCCTGGACTATTCCCATTAGTGAAGATTGTAGTGATTTTTAATTACATTTGAAATGTACCCTTTAGAATATCCACTACCCCATATCGTCTCATGGATATCTTAAGAGGCACCACAGGGAAACAAATCAAGGGATGAGCAGCAACATATTCCTAATAACGTCTAATAATTTAAAAAAAACTGCTGTTTCCAACCCGCTTGCCAAGCGTGGCAACTATGGCAATTATCCCCCCTATGAGGCAATCTATAGAGGTGGCCTATGTTCTACAGTGAACTTAAATAGGCAGGCTATAACGGCAACAGTTAAGGATTTTTGAATAATTGACTGCTTTGCTCCTCTTCAACATCAAATTAATATCTAATATTAGTGGGAATTTGGGAAATAGGTACAGATATTAAACACATAAAATCTTTCTGTTTCCATGTTATGTCATGCGCACTATCAGGTAGATTTTGTGTTCCTTTGGTTGTGCTGTAACTCATAGAAATATACATCTATCCTCGATTACGAAACAAAATGCAGATGTATTGTCACCCCTGAGAACTAAGATGGAATGCCTCGTTTCTACTAAAATGTATCTTCGGTTCTCTACACTTACCATAGCTACCCATTCGTGCTACAACCATAATGTAGCTGCAGTGTGTGCGTTTCTTAAGTGCAAAACATAATAATTTTTTGAGAACAGATGCTGAAAATTTGATAAACGTGTCGGCGACTGAGATCTGGGACCAGTGGAGCAACACTAACAACGCCTTCACTCGGCGTATCGCTGAGACCATCGAAATAAAGAACAAGCTCCAGCTGCATTTGCATAAGGTAAAATATACACCGGAGGAAAATCCATCACCCTATTTAGTCTCGTGGATGTCATAAGCTCATAAGAGACGTCTAAGAAACATGTCAAAAATATCTTATGGCTTTCGATAGATGGCGGTATAACCACTTCTATGCTTACTATTAGACGAATGCTACGGTACTAACACATTGCGCACTAAGTTACGGTCAGTTCTCCGTAACTTCTTTAGTCGACTGCAAGCGGGCGTGGAGACTAGTTTTTTAAACCGCAACTTTGTTTTTTAAACCGCAAACTTTAGTTTTGACCATCTAACACTGATTTTGTTTAATGTGACCCAAAAAACGCTATCATTATTTATGCGCACACTTTGTCAACGTTATTTGATGTTTATTTCAGATAAGTTAGTTAGAGCCTATATATACGTCCCACTGCTGGGTACAGGCTTCCTCTCAATTCTGAGAGGGTTCTAGTGCAATGAAGTGTCAGCCGTGCTACCCAAATACGTGTTGGCGAACTTCACATGTCTTTGAAATATTTTTTTTCTTATTTCTCAGACAGGTTTCTACACGATGTTTTCCATCACCGCCGAGCACGTGGTAAATCAGCACTTAATGTTGCACTTAACAATTTCATTGGGGCGAGCGGGGATCGAACCCAGGTTGCTCGCGTACTGCGAAATTTACAGCGAGTGCTAACCATCTGAGCTACCACGGCTCTCATTTCAGATAAATATGAACTTTATTTAGTTTTTGCCTAAAAACAGTAACTGTCGTAAATGAAAATTCACTCACTTCACTCGCCCCCGCCCGCGCAATTCACAGCTGTGTGACATAGTTTTTGTCCTGAATTGCAGGTCTAGTAGTATGACATATAGAAGTCTGACTATCCGTAGCTAGTTTGAGTATTTTACGTTTTATTTTATAGGATAGACTGACAAACGAGAACACAGTCCACCTGATGGTAAGTGGTTGTTGTGACGCATAGACATCTACGTCTATCCTCAATAAAGAATCAAAATGCAGACGCGTTGACACCCGTGAGGACTAAGATGGGATGCCTCTTTTGCAGTAAAAGGGGGCTCCGGTTCTCTACACTCACCATACGAAACACAGCAGTGTTTAGCTGCTATTTTACGCTGGTATTCTGTGAGAGCGTGGTCCTTCCCCAGTCGAGCCGACCCATTCGTGCTACAACGATATACGACTAATATAGCTGCAGCATGGCTCTACCACGTATAAAAAAATATTGTTATACCACCACCTAACGCAAGGTATAAAATTTTTCTGTTATTTCCTATAGTTGTCTCTTACGACACACACGGTTAGAATAGATTATTTTACGCCACTACCACGCGGTCGAAAAGGAAAAATTCAAAACTTTTACTTAACCAACTTTATTTTAACAATTTATAAAATTTGACACAGTTTTTGTTCTGAACTGCTATACAATTGAAGTCTTTGGTAACCATTCGTTTACGTCTGACGTAACATACGGAGACTGAATACGGACAGCAGTGTAACAGTGTCGAATGTACTCACGTGTGGTACTGCTATTGTTATTACACCTGTTTTCATATTTTTATGGAATGGGTGTGACAAACTAACACACACTCTAGGTGGGCATTGTGTATCAACTATAAGCGGATATTGTGATCCATAAACACCTACTTGTATCCTCGATTAAGAATCAAAATGCAAATGTGTTGTGTTACCCCTGAGGACTAAGGTGGCAATAAACAATAAACCACGTTTTGTTTTATATTATGACGGTAAATGTTTTGATTCCCTAACAACTTAAATTTTTATTAATTTGATTTCTTAAAAGACTAGTTTTTAGAGTAAGTTGCAAACAGTCTTTATCAGCTGTTTTTAATATCATAGTCAAAGTAAGTAACGCCCAATTGTTATAACTTAATTATAAAATTATACTTTAGGTGCAACAGGAGATATTCGACGTGGAGAAGACGCTGGAGCTGCTGAACAAGGCCATCGAGGACAAGCTGCAGCCCATGAAGGTGGCGCACAGCAGGCTGCAGGCCAGGACCACCCGCCCGCACCTCGAGAACTGCCGCGACGACGCACAGCTACGGTGACAATATTCTTCATTTAAATCTAGAAACCAACTTAATTAATTCATATTATTTTTAGTGGGGGGGGGGGGGGGGAGTAAAAATATCCACTACCCCATATCGTCCTGTGGGTGTCGTAAGAGGCGACAGAGGGAAACTGATATAGTAGAGATGGGCAGCAGCATCTTCGTGACAACAACTCAAAATAATAAAAAACTGCGGTTGCCAACCCACATGCCAAGCGGCATGTGGGTTGGCAACCGCAAAAATGGCAAAATCTCCCTGTGAGGCAATCTATAGAAGAAGCCTATGTTCAGTAGTGGACTTTTATAGGCTGTAATGGAGTTAAAATTACAATTAGGTAGAGAAAAGGATGTATTCTTTCACACACACACACAGTAAGTAATTACGTCCAAAATTGCTAAGCTTCTTAAGTGTTAGGTCATTGATATAAGTAATAAAAACCCGGGTTTTTTGTATATCACTGGGTTTTTTGTAAATCAATGGGTTAGGTCCTAAATTATCGCAGATGTCGTGGGTCGATTGTTATGTGAAAGTTCACTTTCGCGTTCCCGAAATAATTTATTCTCCGATCAAGTTTTAGCAGTAGCTGAGTGAACCATGTTCGAACCCCGCCGGTACCAATGAATATGTTATTTGTAATTTTAATGGCTTATTCACTATTGTCGTGAGGAAACCTGCATGTCCGAGGAATAAAATATTCCAAGGACGTGTGAAGTCCGCTATATCGCACTAAAGCAGTGCGCCTTGTGTTCCCAACTTGGCGACTTACATAAGTTGCATTCTCACACTAAAGAATATTGTCTGTGTACGATTTGTTATACCCATTGAGCCATAAGTACAAATTACAGCAATAGTTATACCGTGTGAATATTCTTACATCGCCACTACTGTGTAAAGGCGCAGAGTCTCCTCTACCTTTGGTCAAACCACGTGAACGCTCTAAGCCAATGAAAACGCAGCATGAACGCTTCCTCTCATATTCATTCTTTCCTGTCTTCGGTCTCGTTCTATTTTAAGGAATAATTTTAGGGTGTCTGTCAGTTTTATCCATCACCGAAACGATCTGCTTTTTTTGGGATTATTATTTAGAAAAAATGTAACTGACACGCTATTAAATTTTCAGCGTGTCAAACATTTTTTAAATTTTTTTTTAAATATCATTGGGGTGGTCTAGTTCCGCGCCACCCCACTCAAATGATCTGCAATCGATATACTACGAGTACGATTACTATTGACAATAGAATACAATTTGTGTTATTACATGCTGGGTCAATTATATTTTTTAACACAAATATTTTACCTTACTTGCGCAATAGCTGCCCCACCTGTACATGCCAGGCAGACTAGCCATTCCCTATACAACTTTTATTAAACGACACTTTTGAGTCAAATCCGTGCTCAAAATGTGTCGCCAGCTCTCCGACCATTATATTATATAATATTGGAGTGAACGAACAAACTGATGCTATATTTTCAATGGGTCGGTCGGGACATTTTGCTACGTTTTTATTAGCTCGCGTTCGTGTCGAATATAGTAATTGATTTTAAACTAACTTCCCGTTGAGCTAGGGACTTGAAATTTATAATATACTAGCTTTTTACCCGCGGCTTCGCTCGCGTGTGCTTGAATTTAGGAACATCATTAAATGTTGTTCCGTGCAAAATTTAGAAAAATTCGATCACTTTTAGTCACCGCGATGTCTATGTCTCTATGTCTGTCAAAGATTTTTTTATTTCTAATATATTAGACGTATATGATTGGTAACATGCTACAGAAACACGTGAATATATACATATGTCTAGAAACACCTACTATTTTTTATATCGGGTGTGTCTTCCAATTCCGATGTATCTATAAGAAAGATAAATAGTCTTGAAGTCCAGCGTAAAATAGCAGCTTAATGCTGTTGTGTTTCGTATGGTGAGTGTAGAGAACCGGAGACCCTTTTTACTGGCAGAGAGGCATTCCATCTTAGTCCTCACGGGTGACAACGCATCTGCATTTTAATTCGCAAACGAAGATAGATGCAGATGTCTATAGGTCACAGTAACCACTTACCATTAGGTGGACTGTGTGCTCGTTTGTCACCCTATCCTATAAAAAAAAAATCAAAATGTATTATTATTATTTACATTTTACTCTTTACAAATTATTCATAGTTTTTTAAAGTAACTAACTAATTAACTTTAATTTAGTTTTAACAAAGTAAAATATTATTTATTTGAGACATATCATTGCTCCTATTTAATATTGATTGGCACCATAAAATAGATGTAGATTTTTTTTACTTGGAGTAGACTTGAAAACATCATAAATACAATTCTATAATAATGAATACTGCACATAGATTAAAATAATTGTTACAAGTTTTTTTACGCATCTTGGATGAAAGTTCCGAGTAAAAGAACATATCGTTGATGTGAAGCACCGAAGCTCCGGGAAGTCTAAAGTATGTCAACATGTTTAGTATCGTCCCAACCATTATATCGGATCTGATAGTCAACAAATCCTTGCAATAGAACACCGAATCCTACCAATGATGATTCGCGAGGCTATTGAAATTAAAAATATCCTAATTTTAATAGGGAAGATGGTTGCGTGCTACCATCTGCTAAGGACCCCATAATTAATAAAATTAAATTCAAACTACTACTGCATTTATTCTATTCTATTTTAACGATGACATCAGGTCGTCAAACACCTCAGTTCTCCAGTCCTTCCCGTAACCATGGTTGCTGTAAAGTGCCCAAAACATCGGGAATTTGAAAAGTTAAAATTAAACGCAATAAATTCCTTAAAATTAGTATTATTCCTTATATACATTTTAATCACAGTGAACGTGAGGATAACTATACCCATGAACAGGAGTAGAAAAATGTTCGCCCTGTTGTGGCAGTGAAATAAAATCCACCACCTCATATCGCCCCGTCGTAAGAGGTGACATATGAAAACAAACTGAAGATGGGATGGGCTGCATCATCTTCTTGACAACAGATCAAAATAATAATAGCTGCGGTTGCCAACCCGCCTGCCAAGCGTGGCAACTTTAGCAAATATCCAGCTACTTGACAATTAATGGGGGAGGCCTATATTAATTTCAGTGGACTTTTGATAGGCTGACGATAATGAGTTCTACTCATCTTTGCAAGCCTTAATATGTACGGCAGAGTGAAAACAAAAAGTAACATGCCCTAAAACACGAATGAAATAAAAACTGCATATATTGCCCCATGAAAAGTAAAAAAGCAGCAGCTTACATACATGTTACCTACTACTGGGCACAGGCCGCAGAGTTTTTGGCCAAAAAAGTATTCCCTGCGCTGATTCCAACGCGGGATGAATGTAATGTAAATGATTCAATTATTTACATCGTTTATTCAGTAGCATTGTACTATTTTATTTTATCAATGACTTTTCATTTTAGTTTATTTAGAAGTAAGTAGGTGGCGCTAATATTAGATGAAATAATGAAAGCCAAAACTATACCATCTAGTAATATCAGCAATAGAAGCGAACATTTATTTATTATATCAATAAGGAATAAAGTGATGTCAATTCTCTTAAAATTTCTGTTAAAAAATGCGCTATCAGCGCCGGTAGCGGTGAAAAACGATTTAATGATATCGTCATATGCCCATATTATGAAATAGCAACATTGTGTTTAGTTATTAATATCTTCAAACGATTTCTATTCATTGATTTAGTCAAGCTATAGTGTCAACAAATAGTGTTAAATATCATGAAATGACTACACCATTTCACGAAATGATAGACTACTTTATGATATAATATGATCAATTCTACGATCTGGCCACGACATACATAAAAATCTGTTTAATATAACTATAATGATAATGAAAATTTTGCAACAATTGCAGACTTTAATTTTGCAGGTTTTAATCATTTTACATATATATTAGTAATTGAAATAAATACCTTATCAATTTTCATATTTTTGATATACGTCACCATTATCTATTGAAATTACACATTTAAAATAAAATAACAAAAATACTAAAAAACTAAACGTAGTTTTTTAATAATTTTAAAAATCTAATCTTTTAATCATATAAATGTAAGTTATTTATATTATTTCATTTATTAGTAACTGAAAGCAAAATATACTACTTTTTCCATTTGATGATAGATGGCGCTGTTTTGAATACCAAATCGGTGTAGTTTTAAATTATTTTACCAAGATTATAACTATATGTTAAACTTTATTTACAAATATGGTTTTTATTTGAAAAACACCCGTCATCCCGCCTATAACTAAGATATAATAGCTATACATAACCTTCCTTTTTTGAAGTTCCGTAATAGGATAAAAAGTACCCTATAAGTTGCCCCGGGTTACTCACTACCTATATACAAAATTTCATGTTAATCGGTTCAGTAGTTTTTGCGTGAATCCGGAATACACAGACAGACAGACAGACAGACAGAAAGAAAGACAGACAGACAGACAGACAAAAATTCTAAAAACCACTAATTTAGCTTCAGAACCCTTTATTTAGTCCCCTGGACTTATTTTTTCAAGAATATATTAGAATTACAGACACGACTTTTCTACAGATTTATTATATGTATAGATATCGTATGACAATGTTAGAATATGAAAACAACGAGTTAATTTAAAAAAAAATAGTATAATTTTTAAAAACTTCTCTTGTTCTAACTCTATATAGAACTAGGTGTTCCCCGCGACTTCGTTCGCTTGGGATTTATATTATTGGATTTCATGGGTTTTAATTTTTTGCGCGGAACCCTAATTATTTTCTAAAAATAAAAGTACCCTAAGTTAAACCTCATAACATCAGCAATCTGCCAGTGAAACTCCCGTCACCGGTCCAGCCATTTCGAAGATTAGCCGGAACAAGCAAACAGGGAGACAGACAAACAAAATTTAAAAAAAGGTTTTTTGTTATAAGTACCGTATATACTTTCATATCCTTCTATCCATCCATTACAGCCTATAAAAGTCCACTGCTGAACTGAACATAGGCTTCTTCCCCCATAAATATCCTCAAAAGGGAAATGTCTGCCATAGTGACCATAGTTAACAAGCCCGGCAAGCGGCTTGTCAACTGCAGGTTTTTTATTATTTTAAGTTGTTCCTCTGCCGCCTCTTACGATACCCACGGGACGATATGAGGTACTTTCATATGCATTTAGTAAAAGCTGTTATTTTGTCATAACAAACGGACACTTCAATTTTATATATTTGTATAAGGGTGACAAACGGGCATACAGTCCACCTGATCGTAAGTGGATACTGTGGCCCATAGACATCTACATCCATCCTCGATTAAGAATCAAAATGTAGATGCATTGTCACCCCTGAGGAGTAAGATGGATCTACACCTACTATACGAAACACAGCATCATTAAGCTGCTATTTTACGCTAGTAATCTATGAAAGCGTTGCCCTTCCTCGGTTGAGCCGACCCATTCGTGCTATAACGATAATATAGCTGCAGCGTGGCGCTACCACGTATAGCTTGATTATAAGTGGATGCTATGGCCCATAGACATCTAAATCTATCATCGAATAAGAATCAAAATGCAAATGCGTTGTCAACACTTCAAGACTAAAATAGAATGTCTCGTTTCCAGTAAAAAAGGTTCCCAGTTCTCAAGACTACCCATACGAAACACGCATGAAGCTGTTATTCTACGCTGGTATTTGCAAGCGTGGTCCTTCCCCGGTCGAGTCGACCTATTTGTGCTGTAAATAATATAAATTTGACCATATAACAGATTGGTGAAGGAAGTTTGCGATCTCCAAGAGACCATGGAGACGCTACGTTCAAAGATCGCGAGCGCGGAAGGAACGCACCAGACTTTGTTAGGTGTTAGGGCTTCGCTGGAGGCCGACCTGCGCAACAAGAGCAGTACGCTCTTCATCGACCGCGACCAGTGCATGGGACTTCGCCGCGGATATCCTGTCACCGCTGCTATCAAGTCCTAGCCACCTGATCACCTATACCTAGCCACCTAGCCACTGTTAACTTGATCAATACCTCAATAAATACGTTTCCGTTTCAATTGTCGTTTTAATTCTGTTATTCGAAGCCTTATTCTTTTTTTATATAGAATATGGGTGACAAACGAGTACACAGTCCACCGGATGCTGTGGTCCATAAACATTTACATCTATCCTCGATTAAGAATCATAATACAGATTCGTTGTCACCCCTGAGGACTAAGATGGAATGCTTCATCCTGAGTAAAACCATCTGGAGACGGCGAAGCCGGCCTTGCTATTTTTAACCGAGACTCCGGTTTCCTCTCCGAATGATACTCTCTCCTACCCGGGGTACAAATTGGAACACTCCTTTGAGCCCCAAGCTGGAGTTTGCGTATACGTCAAAAAGGACATCTGTTTTCGACTCCTCGGCAGTCTTCAAGGTTCGAACCTGTCCATCCTATGGCTGCGCGTAGACATCGACGACCATCCCCGCGTCTACGGGTGCCTGTATAGATCCCATAGCGGCAATGCTGAAGCAGAACGTACTCGTCGACCACGTCCTAATGGCTACAGATTCCTTGCTACAGCATATCCCATCCGCATAGATCGTGATCCTTGGCGATTTTAATGCCCACCACGCCGAATGGCTCGGTACACGTTTAACCGATCATGCGGGGAGATCTGTATAAGACTTTGCCTTGGCATACACAGCTGGTTACGTCGCCTAGGCGCATTCCAGATGTGGAGGATCATGCACCTTCCCTGTTGGACTTAACTTAATCATGTTTACTAAAGAGTAATGTAGTTACATATCATTAAAATATATACAATATTAAAAACCATAGTAATAAAACTAAAACTATAAATTTAAATTATCATACACTCCTACTCCCCGCGGAATAGTTCCAAGAACTGCTCGTTGCGTTTCCTTAGTCTTTGAGCGAGAAAAGAACCAGCAGCGATGACAAGTCAACAAGGATACAGTTCTTTTAAGAACTTCACCGCACATGGACTCTAGGGACCGGTAGTGTCTATAGCAAATGGCACAAATATGTAATTTGTTTAAGTTGTTTTAAGATAAAGATAAAAATAGATAAGAAATCATTAACTGTATTCGAGGTTGGTTCATCATCACCATCATTACAGCCCTTCACAAGTACACTGCTGAACATAGGCCTCCCCCAAGGAATGCCACAAAGCACGATCCTGAGCCACCTGCTTCCATCTACTACCTGCATGTGTTTCCAGGTGGTTACTCCATTTAGTGGGGGGACGCCTTACACTTTGCCTGCCGGTACGAGTCTGCCACTTTATTTTTCCCCATCGGTTGTCGGTTCTTCGAGCTATATGGTCAGCCCATTGCCACTTTAGCCTACTTATCCGTTGGGCTACAAGGGGAGGTCAAAAAGTTCACGGAATTTCTAAGAAGGACAATGAAATTAAACATTAAAACTATTTTTCCTTTTCAATGTATTCTCCCTTAACCCTCCCTACATACATTTATTAGATCTGTCAAATAACTTATTAATACCGTCACTAAGATTTTTCTTGGCGTCAAAATAGGCCGAAATTGCCAACTTCACTTCATCATCGTCGCCAGTTTTTTTCTCACTCCATTTCTTTCTTCATTTTTGTAAACAAATAATAGTAGCTTGGGGCCAGGTCTGGGCTGTAGGGTGATTGGCGCAATTGTTCAAAACCGTACCGGTGAATGGCAGCCGTCGCAACATGGCTTGTGTGCACGGGCGCATTGTCGTGCAAAAGAAGCACGCCTTGTGTAAGCTTTTCCGCCTTTTTTCTTCTAGTAAAGAAGCGTAGTACTCTCCCGTCATGGAAACACCATGTTCATCATCATCATCATTACAGCCCTTCACAAGTTCAATTCTGCTGAACATAGGCCTCCCCCAAAGAATGCCACAAAGCACGGTCCTGAGCCACCTGCATCCATCGACTTCCTGCATGTCTTACCAGGTCGTCACTCCATCTCGTGGGGGGACGCCCTACACTTCGCCTACCGGTACGAGGCTGCCACTCGAGAACCTTTCTTCCCCATCGGTTGTCGGTTCTTCGAGCTATATGGCCGGCCCACTGCCACTTCAGCTTACTAATCCGTTGGGCTATGTCGGTCACTCTGGTTCTACTGCGGATATCCTCATTCCTAAGTTTATCACGCAGAGAAACTCCGAGCATAGCCCTCTCCATAGCTCGCTGAGCGACCTTGAGCTTCCTCATACGGCCAGCAGTGAAGGACCACGTCTCAGTTCCGTAAGTCATCACTGGCAACACGCACTGGTTGTACAATTTCGTTTTAAGGTTTTGAGGTATGTCTGACGAGAAGATGTGTCGTAGCTTCCCGAACGCTGCCCAGCCGAGTTGAATCCGTCGATTGACCTCTCGGTCGAAGTTGGACTTACCTAGTCGGACTATTTGTCCCAGGTAAACATACTCGTCAACAACTTCGAGCTTAGTGCTCCCAACAACTACCGGCATAGGTGTGACATGGACATTAAACATGATCTTTGTTTTGTCCATGTTCATCTTAAGACCTATCCGTTGGGAAACACTATTGAGGTCATTGAGCATAGTGCTTAGGTCCTGCAGCGATTCTGCCATAAGGACTATATCGTCGGCAAATCGAAGGTGAGTGATGTACTCGCCATTGATGTTGATACCGTATCCTTTCCAGTCCAGAAGCTTGAAAAGGTCTTCCAATGCAGCGGTGAAGAGTTTCGGGGATATGACGTCACCCTGTCTTACACCTCTCTGCAATTGGATAGGTTTCGTATTCTGGTTCTGTACTCGGATAGCCATCGTAGCCCTACTGTACAAGCACTTCAACACTTCGATATACCGACAGTCAACTTGGCACCGTTGAAGGGACTGCAGCACCGCCCAAATTTCGACGGAATCAAAGGCTTTCTCATAGTCCACATACGCCAGACATAGTGGCAAATTGTACTCTTCGGACTTCTGTACAACTTGCCGAAGGGTATGTATGTGGTCTATGGTGCTAAAGCCCTTTCGGAAACCGGCTTGTTCGGGAGGCTGGAAGTCGTCAAGTCTGCGCGCGAGACGATTCGTAATGACTCTCGAAAACAGCACGTAGACGCGGCTCAGAAGGGAAATCGGTCTGTAGTTCTTCAAGAGAGCGTTGTCACCTTTCTTGAAGAACAAGACCACCGCACTTCTGCTCCACGCCTCCGGTGTAATGCCACCATGGAGGACAGAATTAAAGAGCTTCTGAAGGACTTCAAGTACCGGTCTTCTACCCGCTTTCAGAAGCTCCGCTGTAATTCCATCCTCGCCTGGGGCCTTACCGTTTTTAAGGTGCTGGAGAGCCATCCTAATCTCGCTCAGACTGACATCCGGGATATCTTCGGAATAGTGTCGGATGAGACTCGCTCTTGGATCGTTACTCACACTTGCGTGTGGCTCCAACGATGATGTGTACAGCTGCCCATAGAACCTCTCAATCTCACTCAAAATCTCAGGTGTCCCGGAACCGATGCTGCCACATTCTGTCTTCAGCTTTGACAGTTGGCTCTTTCTGGCAGACAGATCTCTGGCAAAGACTTTGGAGCCTTGGTTCCGCTCGATCGCTTCTTCAATACGAGCTGCATTGAAGTTGCGTAAGTCCCGCCGCATGCATTTGGAGATCTGTCTGTTCAGATGCCTGTATGCTGTCAAGTCTGTTAAAGAATGTAGCTTCATCTCCCGTCTAACAGCCATGAGATTAAGAGTGTGATCGGAGAGTTTTTGTGTTCTTCTGCGGCGGGTCTTGCAGAACTTAGCTCCGACCGCATGGACAGTTTCCACGAGCTTGTCATTCATATTGTCCACTTCATTGCACACCATGTTCCTTATAATCAATCAAAAGGATACCTTCTGTATCCCAAAAGATAGTCGCCATGACCTTTCCGGCCGATTGAGACACCTTATACTTCTCAGGAGAGGGTGTGCCTTTTTATGCCACTGCATCGATCCTTGTTTTGACTCAGGTTCATAATGGTGAACTCAAGTTTCATCGCCAGTTACAATTCGGGCCATAACTTCCTAATTTTGCTCTCCACAGCGGTCCAAAAACTCGAGACAACTTTCGACACGCTCGGGTTTTTGATGCACGGAAAGCATTCTCTGAAACCATCTTCCACAGACTTTAGTCATGCCAAGGTGTTGATGTAGGATGTTTAAAATAGTTGTTTCTGATACTCCACTTATGTTGCAAGCTGGTTTTTCTTTAGCCAGGCAACTTCCAATACAAATTTTTAACTTTTTCGATTATTTCTGGCGTGGTAGCCTCAATCGGCCGTCCAGGTCTTGGGTCGTCTTCAATGGAGTCCTTCCCTTGTTTGAAAAGGGCGTGCCATTTATAAATCATGGTTTTCTCAGGAGCGGAGACCCCATAAACAGCTGACATCTCTTGAAAAATGGTTTGAGATGTCTTTCCTTGTTTGGTGAGCAACTTAATGGCGGCGCAATATTTAATTTTCTCCATAGTAGCTAGTTTCTTCCCGATCGACTTGTTTGCTCGTTGATCGCTCAAAGGTTTCACCCGATTAGGCTGAAACTTGGTACATTGGTATATATATATATACTAACAATGAGTCACTTAACTATCGCCTACCTGCATTAGTAAACTCATCCTAGCCAACCCCGCTAATCCTCGAACTTTTTGACCTACCCTCGTATGTCGGTTACTCTAGTTCTACTACAGCTTGCTGAGTAACCTTGAGCTTCCTCATATGGCAACACGCACTGGTTGTACAATCTCGTTTTCAAGTTTTGAGGTATACCTGTCGAGAAGATTTTAACAGTGGTAGAGCCACGCGGCAGCTTTTGCTGTCGCACGGATGGGCCGGCTCGAACCGGGGTGGTACCACGACCCCACAGAATACCAGCGTAAATGAGAAATTTACTTCTGCATTTCGCCTGGTGAGGTGGCCGGAGGCCCAATCCCAAAGATCAACATGGTAGCGGAATTAAAAGGAACACTACCTCAG